TATACCAAAATCGTAATAATATTCAAATCATAGCAATTTTGATCTTGAAGACATAATTTGAATGACGAAATTCGCATAAAGAGCAATAGTCGACTTCCTCGCCGTGCGCCGCCGCGGTTGGCGGTCAGCCGTCCCGATTCGCCGGAAACTCAACTATTTCTAAAAATTACCAAAAATTACAGAAATGAAGATCTCAATGCGTAGAGTAACTTTCATACCTGTGACCAAGGGCAATTTAGCTCGGAAATGCTCCAATTTGCCTCAAATCCGCCAGGAACCCTAGAAATGAGTGTTCTTGATTCGACTCCATAGTAGCTCTGATGCCCCAAAACTTGTATGGGCTTTATTCCTATGTTCTTAAGGAACATATGGGTGGTGGAAATTGGGAGAGTTTGCTTCAAATTCGATGGATCGCAACAATGAACTCGCGCACCCCCCGTGGGGTTTTGCACATTTTCAGAGCCAATATCTATCTAATTTGTGATAGAATCAGTCAAGGGGAGGTCATGGAACCTTTTTAAGATGGTTTGGTAGTATAATTCGTCGGAAAAACCGATGAAAAGCCACCAGAGGAGGTGAAGGAAGCCGGGTCGGGTTGATGACATAGAACCGGGTCGAAGGATCTGGTGTACTTCCTTCCCCTCATTTCCCCTCCTTTCTCTCTTCTCTCATTGGTTACTCTCTCTCCCCCTTTTCTGATTGGCCCTTCTCTCCCTCATTTCCCTCCTTTATCTATCATCTCCACCTCCTAACCTTTCTTACTTTTAATCTGGGCCACACATGTGGCCTTCCAGATTTGGCTCCAAAAATCTTGAGCATTCTAGAAATGATAAATTTACCATTTTATCCCTAACTTTAAACGTTAATAACTTATTCGTTCTAACTCCGTTTCACAAACGGTTTGCGTCTACGCGTTCGTGAGGTCGAGCTCTATTCAAAAATATAAATTTTGACCTCGAAAGGGCTACGTATTTTAAATAATTAAGGTCCAAACTTTAAACCTCGTAACTAGTTTAATTTAAAACTAAACTTACACAAATTATTATAAATTCTTGAAAAATCATATAAAAGCTCAATAATACAAATACGTTGATTAATATAATTTCCGGAAACAAAACTGTAAAAGTTCTCGATTAAATTCTTCATAATCATAAATCGATTTTCAATTTTCTCCACATATGCATAATTAGGAATATATAATTCATATATTTAAATTTTCAGGGTATTACAATCACCCCATGTTAAAATAAATCTCGTCCCCGAGATTTCAATCGTCAAGTCATGATAAGAAACTAACAGTATTTCCACCATTTCTTTTATGGTGAATAAAATTATAACTTCCACCTACGATTTTATTCAAGTTCAAAATAAGCAAAACAACGAATTATAATCGTGATTATTTCTCTCATTCTCATATCCCCAACACATTCATTGTCAAATTAAGTATCAACAATTTTAACCATACCCGTTGGTAAAATAATTATCCACATTTAGCCACCATCACTGACGATACCAACATCATAAAATCCCAATATTGGTAGCATAAATATTATAAATTTTCAGCCATAACTATTCTCGACCAATTAAATACTGAAATTCTAAATCATCCACTAGTAACCTAGTAGAACTTCAAGCCAAATCTTTATAATTGACAAACCAAATATCAACAATTGCAACCAAATTCCAACCATAGCTCGAATAAATTAGTGAGATACATGTCCAGGGTACTATCTACATTTCATCAACCAAAGGAAAGAATTTTATCTTTTACTACTCTAACGGCCAACTATATTACACTTATTACTTTCATAACCATGCAAATATATATATATATATATATATATATGCTTCAAAATTTTGGTGCGCAATATCAAATTCAACAATGTTAACTCATAACCATGGCAACCCACCAATCAAATTTATAATTATAACTTCCCATCCATTCCTTTCATCAATTATAAAAATATCACATCTCACACCAAAAAAAATCCGTTTAAACAAACTTAGAATTTCATTTCATTAGTTTCATTCATATCTACCACCATTCTAATTATATTAGGCAAACCATAACTATAGTTTATAATTCCATTCCCATTCAATAAATCACAATCTCTTCCATAAATATTAACATTTCCAACCAAAATTTTCATGGTCAGAGAATTTTTTATTTTTTTCCTAACTATACTTATCCTTATCAAAACAATGATTTCACCACCATTTTCTTTTATCTCCATAAGCGACTAGTAGGCGGAAAATATTGTATTATACCTGGCCAATATACACCACCTTTTTTTTTTTTCCACGGGCCTTTCTCGCCCAATTTCACATTCACGGGTCATTATGCCCAATCACATATCCACGGGCTCTTTTCAGCCCAATCACATATCCAGGGGTTCTTTTCTTCCACTGGCACAAGTATAAAGCAATTCTTCCATCTACTTGTCACCATTCCACCATCATTTTAGCATTTCACATTTTCATAATGCATAACATAAAATCAATTCAATTCTAGGTTAAACCAAACCCTTATCAAATGCTCATTTTCAAAGCTATAACATAAATACGATATTATAAAATTTTCCTACTCCCATTCAATTCAATTCAAAGCATCATACTTCACAACAAATACATTCCACACAAGTTCCTTAGTATTCAGAGAACTTAGAGACTAATGCAATATAAATAAAAATAATAATTTCTACTATCACTATTTCATATTCATCATGGAATTATCATCACAAGCACGATGCAATCATATATGTATTTCCTATACGTTTTCCATAATGCATAATATAAATTCAACCCTAAATAAAGGTTAACCCAAAACCTTAATCAAATACCCAACATTAAGGCTATTACAAGAAATGTGACATTTCAAAAATTTCTATTCCCATTTAATTCATTTCATGACGATTTACAACACATACTTTCCACATAGATTCCTCATGTTTCATAGAATTTATGATATAATGCAATATCAACGAGACCCATAATTCACATTCACAACTCAACCAAATATCATAATGTAAAGTGGGATCATTTGCTTTGATACCATTTCTAACGCCCCGGTCTCGAAATATTTGTATATTTGGAAAAAATAATTATGGTAGGCCCAACCTAAAAACATAGCTAATTTATTTTCTTTTCTTGGATCAATTTCCATCTATATACTAATTCTCGAATATTTAAACACATTTATTTTATGGCTGCATCTAACGTCTCGTTAGACTGTCTACATACCCTCAACAGGGATCAAGCCTTTCGTAGTTCAAAACTTCAAAATTTAAACCAAATTCGAAAATATTCCTTTAATCCAGCATATACCAAAATCGTAATAATATTCAAACAACAATTTTGATCTTGAAGACATAATTTGAATGACGAAATTCGCATAAAGAGCAATAGTCGACTTCCTAGCCGTGCGCCGCCGCACCCACCGCCGCGGTTGGCGGTCGGCAGCCCCGATAGGACGGAAACTCAACTATTTCTAAAAATTATCAAAAATTACAGGAATGAAGATCTCAATGCGTAGAGTAACTTTCATACCTGTGACCAAGGGCAATTTAGCTCAGAAATGCTCCAATTTGCCTCGAATCCGCCGGGAACCTTAGAAATGGGTGTTCTTGATTCGACTCCATAGCAGTTCCGACGCCCCAAAACTTGTTTGGGCTTTATTCCTGGGTTCTTAAGGAACATATGGGTGGTGGAAATTGGGAGAGTTTGCTTCAGATTTGATGGATCGCAACAATGAACTCGCGCACCCCCCGTGGGGGTTTGCACATTTTCAGAGCCAATATCTATCTAATTTGTGATAGAATCAGTCAAGGGGAGGTCATGGAACCTTTTTAAGATGGTTTGGTAGTATAATTCGTCGGAAAAACCGATGAAAAGCCACCGGAGGAGGTGGAGGAAGCCGGGTCGGGTTGATGACATAGAATCGGGTCGAAGGATCCGGTGTACTTCCTTCCCCTCCTTTCCCCTCCTTTCTCTCTTCTCTCATTGGTTACTCTCTCTCTTCCTCTTTTCTGATTGGCCCTTCTCTTTCTCCTTTCCCTCATTTATCTTCCATCTCCACCGCCTAACCTTTCTTACTTTTAATCTGGGCCACACGTGGCCTTCTAGAAATGATAAATTTACCATTTTATCCCGCCTTTAAACGTTAATAACTTCTTCGTTCTAACTCCGTTTCATGAACGGTTTGCGCCTACGCGTTCGTGAGATCGAGCTCTATTCAAAAATATAAATTTTGACCTCGAAAGGTCTACGTATTTTAAATAATTAAGGTCCAAACTTTAAACCTCGTAACTAGTTTAATTTAAAACTAAACTTACACAAATTATTATAAATTCTTGAAAAATCATATAAAAGCTCAATAATACAAATACATTGATTAATATAATTTCCGGAAACAAAATTGTAAAAGTTCTCGATTAAATTCTTCATAATCATAAATCGATTTATTTTTTATTTTCTCCACATATGCATAATTAGGAATATATAATTCATATATTTAAATTTTCAGGGTATTACACTCCAAGTCTCTTGTGGTGAAAAAAGAAAAAATACACTCTTAAAACAAAACAATTTTTTAGTCATATTCATGACAATTTTTAAAATATAGCCATTGGGAATGGTGTGAGTCATTTGGTATTATAGTCTAGATTTTTAAGGCTCGTTTGAAAATACTATTAAAATCATTGAAAACACTTTTGATGAAAATATTTTTAAAACTAATCTTAAAAAAAGATAAATGAATATCGATTTTTTTCCAGAAAACATTTCAAATGCTTTTAAAATTGAAACTCAAAAATTTTTTTACTAAAAACATTTACATTCACGTTAAAAACAGTGACAAACAAACAAGTTCTTATTCAGTTGTAAGTAAAACAACTTTTTTGTTAAAATTCAAATTTTCTGAATTACCAATTGATTTCATATCATGTGTAAATGTACAGAAAAGAAAAATACCCATCTCCGAAAATACATAGCTTGGTAAAGTTCTGACAATTGACACTGCCATCCGTCTCCATCTTATTCAAAACTCTCTCTCTACGCAGTGACCATCGGACCCGAAAGAAAATCTCCGAGAAAATAGTGCTGTGAGAGGAGAGAGAAAGCGGGCAATGCTGCAATTGTGTGGCTGAGAGAGGAGAGAGGAGAGAGGAGAGAGAGAGCGGGCAGAGTATATGGGGAGTGGAGCTACTCTGGTGGAGGGTGTTCGTCGCTGGTTTCAACGTCGCTCTTATAATACTAATCATAATTATAACAACAACAACAAAATTAATAAACTTGGCAATGATCACAACCATGGCCACGTCTCCGATTTAAGCGCCCAACCGTCCGATTCTCATCAGCGGGAACAAAAACGAGGCCGGGAGAACCAGCAGCAGTTGCAGTTTGAGGTTGAGGACGACTTTGACATTTCGGGGTTGAAGGTCATCAGAGTTCCCACAAGGGCCGACCTTACAGCTTCTCACCCCATGGATTCACAGAAGAAGGTACCTGTTTTTTTGTGTTTTTACGATCTGGGTTTCTTTTGTTTTTGGATTTGTTCATCTGGGTATTGATCTGATTTGGGTTTTCTTGCTTTTGATTCCTGCTTGGTTGAATGTGGATTGTTTTGTTAGGATTTGATTGGTTACGTAAATGCACCAATCAAAACTGAATTGTAGCCGTTAATGGGGTGGGGTAATTTATTGGATACCTCCAAAAATTTTGAACTTGATGGTGTTGGAGATAGAAAGAGGTGGACTTTTGATACAACGATATTGGGGAGGGGGAATTCGGGACCTCGGGGATGAAAGAGTGAATGTTCTTAATCAACTTAGCGATAAGCCTATTGCAAAGATAATTCTTTTATTAACCTGAGAATGTGCTAGTTTTTGCAGTTCTGTTTGAATTCTTTAAAAAGCAATTTTTGGATCAAACTAGTGATGGATGGAATTTGAAGGGATGAAAATGTTCTGTTGTTTCCTTACTCTTTCTATGCTTGTTTATAGATAATCCCGTCTATTTTGATTGCAAATAATGGTTGTTGATCTTTATGCAGGGTAATCTAGAAACAGAATTCTTCACCGAGTATGGAGAGGCAAGTCGATACCAAGTTCAGGAAGTCATTGGGAAAGGAAGTTATGGTGTCGTGGGTTCTGCAATTGACACGCACACTGGAGAAAAGGTTGCAATCAAGAAAATTAATGATGTTTTCGAGCATGTTTCGGATGCTACAAGGATCCTGAGAGAGATTAAGCTCCTTCGCTTGCTTCGTCATCCTGATATTGTTGAAATAAAGCACATCATGCTTCCCCCTTCACGACGAGAGTTCAGAGATATTTATGTTGTTTTTGAGTTGATGGAATCTGACCTTCACCAAGTTATTAAGGCAAATGATGATCTTACTCCTGAACATTATCAGTTTTTCTTGTACCAGCTTCTCCGTGGCCTAAAGTATATTCATACAGGTTGGTACTTTGCGTTCATTTCTTTTGGCTTTTGCTGTAGTTATGATAACTATTAATTAATTTTCCTCTGTTTCTTGTAGCAAATGTATTTCATCGAGATTTAAAGCCAAAAAACATTCTTGCTAATGCTGACTGCAAATTAAAGATATGCGACTTTGGCCTTGCTCGTGTATCTTTCAATGATGCCCCGTCTGCTATTTTTTGGACAGTAAGTTGTTCAGTTATGCAAATCAATGCATGTCACCACACAACTCCTAAAATCTGTATTTTTGTGGTTGCTAATTAGAAGTCGCTGTTTTCTTTAATTTATAAGTTGCAAATACTAGGCCTATAAACAATACTTCTTGTGGACTAAGCTTCTTACTTTTATGAAGGATTATGTTGCAACTCGATGGTACCGTGCTCCTGAGCTTTGCGGTTCATTTTTCTCAAAAGTAAGCTACACTTCATTTCTAAGATCATATATTGTATATACATATCTATTGGAGGATAAGAGGATTCTTTATTTTAGACTGTAGATTTAATTTCTATGACCATAATTATGGCAGTACACTCCTGCAATTGATATTTGGAGCATAGGATGCATATTTGCGGAAATAGTCACTGGCAAACCGCTATTTCCTGGTAAAAATGTGGTGCACCAATTGGATCTCATGACTGATTTGCTTGGCATGCCGTCTGCAGAATCCATTGCAAGGGTTAGTTATTTTATTCTAATAAATCTACTCGGTCATCAACAGGCACACTAATTATGTTTCGTGCTAGCCAAAATTAAGAAAAAGCTTTTAGCAGGCTGCCACTGAACTTCTCAGTCTGCTCTTACAATTCTCGTAGTAAGCCATCTATATGTAACTGCCAAATTCTTTTTTATCCCATCAAATAATTTCTTTTTCATGACACTGGTAGATTCGGAATGAAAAAGCAAGAAGGTACCTGAGTAGCATGCGGAAAAAACAACCAGTTCCTTTCATACATAAGTTCCCTGGTGCTGATCCATTGGCTCTTCGCCTACTGGAGCGGCTCCTTGCCTTTGACCCGAAAGATCGTCTGACAGCTGAAGAGGTAAGGTTACGTACTTTGAGTACATGCAACATTTAACATTTATGTCATATATTGTATACCATGATGCATCCTTCAAAACTGCTTGGGAACACAGTACCTCATAAATCCCTAATGCTTACGCTTGCAGGCATTAGCTGATCCTTACTTTCATGGTTTGGCAAATGTTGACCGTGAGCCATCCACCCAACCCATTTCAAAACTTGAGTTTGAGTTTGAAAGAAGGAAATTGACAAAAGATGATGTTAGAGAGTTAATCTATAGGGAGGTATGACCTTAAAGGTTTATACTTGTTGCTTTCTAGCATTCTGTTTTCCTCCGCTTCGCTTTTGCTATAACAAATCTTGTGTTGAAACAGATTTTAGAGTATCATCCACAGATGCTGCAGGAGTATCTCCGAGGTGGAGATCAGACTAGCTTTATGTATCCTAGGTGAGGAAGCTATTGATTTTCTGAATAATGAAATATTCTTTTGATTATTCAATCAGTTGAACCTCAATGCATGGGAGGGGTTTATGGGAAACGGGAGGGCCACTTCCTGTTTATGTGTTCCAGCCATTGGGCCTAAACAAAAACAAAAACCTTGAGTTGATCTAGCTTATAATAATAGTAGTTTTCCATTCACCATTTCGCTTTGTAAGCCTCCAGTCTGAACTTTTGGTGCTTGGAGTTATTAACCTTGTAACATCGGTTTATGTCATTCTAGTGGTGTTGATCGATTCAAGCGGCAGTTTGCACATCTCGAGGAGCATCATGGTAAAGGTGAAAGGAGTGCTCCTCCACTCCAAAGGCAACATGCTTCCTTGCCCAGGTATGTTTCGGATAAGCATTTAAGGACTAAGTTTGATTTAGATGTCTTGAGGCACAAATCAAATCACTTCTAGCTTCTACCTTATTAGTTCATCTTAATTTATGTGTCATATTGTTCATCAGAGAGCGGGTTTGTGGACCCAAGAATGAGAATGCTGTCCAAGACAATGATTTGGAAAGGACTGCTGCTTCTGTTGCCTCAACTCTTGAGAGTCCTCCTGGGTCAGATCAGAATGATGGCACTGTAAATGCCGATGGACAAAATGGACCTAGCAAGACAAACTACACACCAGTAACTAGTCGTAGCCTATTGAAGAGTGCCAGCATTAGTGCTTCCAAGTGCATAGGTGTAAAGCCAATAAAAGATTCGGAGGTAAGTAACATCGTTTCATATGTACCTCACTTCCTCTTGTTGATCATGACTCAGGCATCTTGCATAGTATCTCGTGCTAGATCTCCGTTACACTTACAAAGGTCGCTGGTTGTCTGAAAATCAAGGTGTCTCAAAACTTGAGTGAGCAATCACACTTTATATATTAACAGATGCAATATAAAATTAAGTTTGGGATTGTGATAAAAACGTTAGTAATGGTATTGTGTTGCTTCTCTCTTTATAGTTCTTGTTTTAATCAATCCATTCCAGGCTACTGACATGTAGTTTGTTACGTCAGCTCAAAAAGGATAAGTTGCGTTGATGCTCAGAGCTGATGCAAAATGATGGATCCGTTATGTAAAATGCTTATATGGATGTACATCACCCTTTTCCTTTGGAAATAATCATTATTTTTCCCACAGGAGGAAGCAATTGCGGAGATCAACGATGAGTCAGTTGATGGTTTGACACAAAAGGTTGCAGCTCTTCGCGCCTGATTCATCTTCATCGATCTGTGGTAGGAAAAAACAGGTGTAACTTTGTGGTCCGCCTCCTTTCCCCGTATTGAGTGGAAAGGGTGTTCTGTAACAGTCGACATTCGAAATCAAAAACATATATAAGTTACTTGAGTTAGAAGCTAACACCGTATAGGAGGAGGAGGACTCGATTTATTTTTCCTTCGTTGTGTAAGTGTAACCACAATGCATAGGAAGGAAATTGCTCTGCTGTAAGTTGTAACTATTTATATTTGAACAAGACAACAAATTGATGTATTTTGTTTACCCATTGTTTAGAGATTGTGTGATATGTATAATAGAAACAAATTGATGGAAATACAGCTTATATTATTATCTTGTGAACAAATTAATATTAGTTTTTTTTTTGTTTTTAATACCAGAAATATTCTACTCTTCGGAACTAATTGAGACATAAGGAGAAGGATTCGAACTCAGGTTTATAGTTGTGTACCTCTGCTCTACCACCTCAGTTTGCATTTACAGAGAGTGTTATGATTACATCAGCTACCAATATTGTCTAGCTGGGCATCTTTTTTGATACAAATGATACTGGAGGAGAGGGAACCGAACTCCGAACCTTTGGTGCAAGGTTTAATTCTCTTAACCAATGCACAGAAATAGACTGTTTTTTCCCTCACCTCTCCTTCACTTGTAACATGGCAAAATTATCTAGCCGCTTCCAACTAATCATTTTGAGGAAATTTTAGCAATGGTCTCTTAACTTTAATTTAATTGGAATAAGGATAATGTTAGGGAGATCAAAATTTTAACCAAAATTGCAAACCAAATAATTTGTTACCAATATAAAATAAACACGTTAAATTCGATATTTAATTAATAATCTAATCATCGACAAACACTCATTTGATTTACAAAATTTGATCTCCTCATATTACCCTCGGAATAATAGTTTCTCAACTGAAAATTTGTGACCATTGATTCCTTGACTCATTAAAACCTGTAGTTATGATAATTTTTGTCAACTTTGTCAAAATTTCCATCAAAATGAGCACACATGAGGTTGAATTAAAGGGCAAATATGAAAAACCAAATGAGAAAATTGTAGCAATGGTCATACTTTATCCCAATTGGAGCAATGGTTTCTCAATTTTATCCCAATTGGAGTAATGATCCCTCTTTAACCCGATTGTAACAATGGTTTTGACTCATTTTGACGGAAGTTCTGACGGAGTTGACAAAAAGAACCATAGTTGCACGTTTTGATGAATTAAGGGACCAATGGTCACTGATTTTTAGTTAAGGGAACCATTACGCCAATCAGATTAAAGTTGAAGAACCATTGCTGTAATTTTCTCAATCATTTTATATGTTCATCACTGGGATGTATTTCTCCTCCATCGAACTTTCGCTTACCACTCCGATTTCTGATCAGTAATCACTAAATATACTTCACCGTGGTGTAGACAAACAAATGTTTTCTTGCACACACACACACACTGTAAATACACCACCAATGGCGGAAGCAGGAATGATCCGACGGACCATTTCAAAGTATGGAGAGTAACTGCAATCCTCAACTTTCTTTAATTCATCGCAATGGAGTTATCGACTCTCACCAGTAATCCCCGCATGAACGATTACCCGAGCAGCCTTTTCACCTAATTTGGTATTGCCATGAATCCGGCTTGCACCTATAGTGGAGTTAAGCGTATCACAAATCAGATATGGGAAACCCAATCGGAGGCAGATTGTTTGCCCTCATAGTTGTGGTGTCCTTCCATGCCTTCTTATTTGTGCGGTCATGGTTAAGCTACGTTAATATTTTATAATTTTATAATTTTTTGTCTTATTATCTCTATTAAAAAATTAATATAAAATGTTGACGTGACTTAACCGTGACCGTACAAAATAGGAGAGCATGGAAGAGCACCACAATTAGGAGGGCAGACAATCTGCCTCCAACCCAACCTACCCTAATGTTGTACTTGTCCTTTACATGGCTTATAAGTTCTATGTTGTTTGCATGTGTGCTACAAAATCATGAACCTAGCGGAACACGGCAGCTCTCTCACAAGCATGATAGCAACATGAATTGGTACATAATTCCTGTTTTTTTGTGAGATTAACTTAACAACAGATGTGATCATATCAAGGGATTTTTTAGGCCCGGGACGACGTAAAAAAAAATGCCCTAACTTCATGTAAGAAAATTATTTATTTTCACATATAAGACATCGAAAAAATTATACTTAGAAAAACACTTCAAACTCAATAATTTAGAAACACAGAAAAACTAATTTATTTTGTATTGAGAGAGGGAAACAAAAAAACTGTGGGCTTACAAGTAGATAGATGATGAGTTTTGTTTTCCATTTGAACTTTGAATGTGTTTTTGAATAAATCGTGAGGTGTTTTTTTCTTATTTACTAAACTTGTCAATACTAGACTAAAAAATAATGATGTTTTCGAATCTTTAATTAATATGTATTATTAATGAATGGGTACTAAATTAAACATTTTGATGACACGTCATATAATTTGCAAATTTGGTCTACGTATTATTCTTTGTTGAAGATTAGACTTGAATTAAAACGAATATTTAAAAATAACAACCCACATAGCTACTAGATAGTAACTAAAAATAAATTACCAACCAAACAAAAATTTGTAAAAATTGAAAAGAATAAACATGCACATAGCATTTCGAACTTAGGACCACTTGTTAATTTTAAACAACAAAAATCATTGTTTCTAATTAAACTTTTTGATCCTTTAACAAAATTTTCTAAATTTATACTCTTATAAAAAAAATTTGTAAAAAAAGGAAAGTAAATAAGCACACATGGTGTTTTAAACCCAAGACCTCTTATTATTTTCAAATGACAAATCACCACTTCTAGTTAAATTTATGTGTCTTTGAATCAAATTTTATAAATTTATACTCTTATAAAAACATATGTAAATATACCACCCTAATAATTTTGATGCCCCTAATTTTTTTGGGCCCTGGACGGTTGCCCCTCCTGCACTGGGCCTGGGCCGGCCCTGGATCATATTGCTTGATCAAAGATTTTCTCTCATTGAAAATACTATCGAACTATTTTAAGGTAAAACTTGTCATTTGATTAGCAAAAATCTGCCAAGTTAGACCTAATTAAAACTTTTGGGGCAATTGGGACCTACTGCTATACATCACATAGTTGAAAATTTGAGTGGACTGTCTAATTGATGAGGACTGACATCCAGGCAAAACCTATGGCTATATAGGATTGAGGGCTGCCATCAATTTACAAATGAAAAGAATTGATTTGAAAAGTGTAGTCTGCTTATCCTGACTACAAAAGCTTGATGCACAGATATTCCTCGTGTTAGTAATATAATTTAATATTTGTTTTTTTTTCTTTAAAAAAGACAACTAGTTATTAGCTTTGCTACAACAATTTACTTTTTTAGGAGTAAGAAAAACTCGCAGAGGTTTTTGACATCCCTTAAATCCTATTATCAATTAGGGTAAATGACAAAAAGCTATCTTAATTATTGGTGTATCGACACTTTTATACCTCATCAATTTAAAAGGGTAAATGACAAAAAGCTTTGACATCTTAATAATATTGTATCGACACTTTTATACAAACTCCTCATCTTTTAAAATAAGGAAAAAAAGCTATCTTAATTATTGGTGTATCGACACTTTTATACCTCATCTTTTAAAATTGACAATGTCATACCTTATCTTACGAATTTGTGCTAATGTCAGACCTTCGTCAGTTGTTATGTTAATTTCTCTGTTAAATGCTAACGTGACCAGAGACAGAACCCACTCACTAATCCAACTGGATTTAAAAATAATATAATATATATTTTTAATAATTAAATATTCAAAAAATAAAAAACTAAAAAAAAATGGCCTAAGGGATCCGACCTTCCCTTTCCTCCACCTGCACCAACCCTTTTTCTTCTTCTCTTCGACAGCCACCAAACCCTTCCCCGTCCCCCCAACCTTCCTCCACCACTCTCTCTCTATTCTCTCTCTCTTCTCTCTGGGATGCGGTCTCCCTCATTCGTCCATCTCCCCACTCGCACTCGTCCCGTCCCCTACCTTTGTCCCTCTTTTTGTTTCAAAACCCCGTCCCTTCTTCGACCCAAACCCTAACCCTAATTCCCCAATTTCAAACAAAAAACCCCAATCCCCCCCCCCCAAACCTTAACCCTAAATTTCAAATCTTCAGGCCAATTTCAAATAGAAAACCTCAATTCCAGGTACTCTTCTTAGGGCAATTTCAAATCTCCTTAGTTGAGGCAATGCTGGAAACATATTTGCAGCCATTGCAGGTCCTCTTCTTGGGGCTCTCCTTGGCACAACCGGCGGGGGATTCACCGCCTCCATTAGAAGAAGCATCGGTGACCTTGCTGTTGTCCTCCCACTTGAGGGGTTTGTTGAGCGCGGAAGGAATGTAATTGATCAAACCCCAAGCCTCGAGGAAATCGAAAACCCTCTTAATGGAGCCGATGTCGCCAATTAGAGACTTGCAGGCCTTCGTGAAAGTGAGCTTCTGAAAAAGGTTGATGACCCTGGATTTGATGACGATGGTGTTGCGGTAGTACTTGTATAGGTTGGGGGAGGAATCGGACCCTCGCAGTGGTGGATATGGTCCGGCAAGAACCAGCTGGAATAGCTGAGGATGTGGATGATGTCAGCGTCGGAGGTGGGATGCAGTTGAGGATGGCGGGGAGCAGCGGTGGTCGGAGTCTCGGGATTGGCGGGGATCGGAAGAGGAGTGGGTGGGGGTTTGGATGGGGTGTCAGAGAAGGAGAGGTCTTGGGCCTCTGTTTAGGTCGAAGATCTTCGAAGGGACAAAGGTAGGGGACAGGAAAAGGTGGGGGATGGGGGTGGGTCCCACATTTTCTTAATAAAATTTTTAAATGATTTTCTATATTTATTAGTTTTTTTTTTGTTGAAATATATTTATTAGTATTTAATTAAATTTTTTTTTTAATTTAGTTGGGTAAGGATGTGGTTCCCACACCTGCCTGCTCATAACTTAACGGTCAAACTTAACATAAAACTGACGGAGGTATGACATTGAAACGAATTCGTAAGATGAGGTATGACATTGTCATTTTTCAAATATGAGGTATGAGATTGTCATTCGACCCATAATTGAAGTAGTTTTTTGTAATTTACCCTATCAATCAGTATACGATGACATTGATAATTCAGTTGCTTTAAAGTCAAAGTCTATCAACTACTTTGTAGATTTTTAATAACTCGAAATATCTCATTTTTTGGCCGAATCGTAATTTGCTTTACTATTATTACTACGTGGTGCTTCTATATGTAAGGGAAGAAGCATATAGAGACTTAAACGATCAACTTACAGAAAAAAATTGTAC